TAGGGTGGTAGTAGTAGTAGTAGGGTGGTAGTAGTACGTAGTAGTAGTGTGGTAGTAGTAGTAGTACTGGAGTAGAGTAGTACGTGGTGGTGTAGTAGTAGTGTGGTAGTAGTAGTAGTGTGGTAGAAGTAGTAGTGTGGTAGTTATGTAGTAGGGTATTAGTATGGTAGTAGTAGTAGTAGTGTGGTAGGAGTAGTAGTGTGGTAGTAGTGGTAGTGTGGTAGTTAGTAGTAGTAGTGTGGTAGTCGTAGTAGTAGTAAGTGTGGTAGTAGTAGTTTAGTGTGCGTAGTAGTAGTGTAGTAGGTGGTAGTAGTAGTAGTAGTGTGGTAGTAGTAGTAGGAGGTAGTAGTGTGGTCGTAGTAGTAGTGGTAGTAGTAGTAGTGTGGTAGTAGTGTAGGTGGTCGTAGTATTAGTGTGGTAGTAGTAGTGTGGTAGTAGTAGCTGTTGTTTTAGTGTAGGGTGGTAGTACGTAGTACGGGTGGTATAGTGTGTAGTCGTAGTGTGGTCGTGTAGTGTGGTAGGTGTAGTAGTGTTGTCGTAGTGTGGTAGCTAGTAGTGTGGTAGTCGTAGTAGTGTGGTAGGTAGTAGTGTGGTAGTAGTAGTTGGGTGGCGTAGTAGTGTGGTAGTAGTAGTAGTTGTGGTAGTAGTAGGTAAGGTGGTAGTAGTGTGGTGTAGTAGTAGTGTGGTAGAAGTGTGGTAGTAGTAGTGTGGGTAGTAGTAGTAGTGTGGTACGTAAGTAGTGTGGTATAGTCGTAGTGTTGGTAGTCGTAGTAGTGTGGTAGTAGTAGTAGCGTGGCTAGTTAGGTAGTGTGGTAGTAGTAGTAGTGGTGGTAGTAGTAGTAGTGTGGTAGTAGTAGTAGGGTGGTAGTAGGTGGTAGTAGTAGTGTGGTTAGTAGTAGTGTGGTGTAGTGTGGTAGTAGTGTTGGTAGTAGTGTGGTAGTAGTGGTGGTAGTGTAGTGTGGTAGTAGTCGTGTTGGGGAGTAGTAAGTTTGTGTGGTAGTAAGTGTGGGTAGTAGTAGTGTGGTAGTAGTAGTAGTAGTGTGTAGTAGTAGTAGTGGGGTGTATGTAGTAGTAGTGTGGTAGTAGGTAGGTGGTAGTAGTAGTGTGTGGTGTAGGTAGTAGTGTGGTAGTAGTAGTGTGTGGTAGTAGTGGTAGTGTTGTAGTTAGTAGTAGTGTGGGTCTGTAGTGTGGTAGTAGTAGTGTGGTAGTGTGTGGTAGTAGTAGTAGTGTGGTGTAGTAGTGTGTGGTAGTAGTAGTAGGTGGTAGTAGTGTGGGTAGTAGTAGTGTGGTGTAGTGTGGTAGTAGTAAGTGTAGTGTGGTAGTAGTAAGTATTGTGGTAGTAGTAGTAGTGTGGTAGTAGTAGTAGTGTGGTTGTGTAGTAGTTTGGTAGGTAGTAGTAGTGTGGTAGTAGTAGTAGTGGTGGTAGTAGTAGGTGTGGTAGTAGTAGTGTGGTAGTAGTAAGTGTGCGTGTAGTAGAGTGCGTAGTAGGTAAGTAGTGTTGGGTAGTAGTAGGTAGTGTTGGTCGTAGTAGTAGTGTGTAGTAGTAGGTTAGTGTGGTAGTAGTAGGGGCTAGTAGTAGTAGTGTGGTAGTAGTAGTAGTGTGGTAGTAGTAGTAGTGTGGTAGTGTAGTAGTGTGGTAGTAGTAGTATTGTGGTAGTCGTAGTAGTGTGGTAGTAGTAGTAGTGTGGTAGTAGTAGTAGTGTGGTAGTAGTAGTAGTGTGGTAGTAGTAGTAGTGTGGTAGTCGTAGTAGTGTGGTAGTATAGGTAGTGTGGTAGTAGTAGTGTTGTGGTAGTAGTAGGTAGTGTGGGTAGTAGTAGTAGTGTGGTAGTAGTGTAGTGTGGTAGTAGTAGTGTGGTAGTTGTAGTGTGGTTCGTAGTAAGTGTGGTAGTAGTAGCTGTGGTAGTAGTAGTAGAGTGTTAGTAGTAGTGTGGTAGTAGTAGTCGTGGTAGTAGTAGTGTGGTAGTACGTAGTAGTGTGGTAGTGGTAGTGTGGTAGTAGTAGTAGTGTGGTAGGTCAGTAGTAGTTGCTGGTAGTAGTGTAGTGTGGTAGTAGTAGTGTGGTAGTGTGGTGTAGTAGTGTGGTGTAGGTAGTGTGGTAGTAGTAGTGTGGTGTAGTAGTAAGTGTGGTAGTAGCTAGTGTTGTAGTAGGTAGTAGTGTGGTAGTAGTAGTGTGGGCTAGTAGTAGTGTGGTTAGTAGTAGTGTGGTAGTGTAGTGGAGTAGTAGTAGTAGTGTGGTAGTAGGTAGTGTGGTAGTAGTAGGTGTGGTAGTAGTAGTGTGGTAGTAGTAGTAGTGAGGTAGTAGTTCGTATTGTGGTAGTAGAGGTAGTGTGGTAGGTATGACTAGTGTGGTAGTGTGGTAGTAGTAGTAGTGGTAGTAGTGTGGGTAGTAGTAGTAGTGTGGTAGTAGTAGAGTGGTAGTAAGTAGTGTGTAGAAGTAGTGTGGTTAGTAGGTAGTGTGGTAGTAGTAGTGTGGTAGTAGGTAGTAGTGTTGTAGTTAGTAGTAGTGTGGTAGTAGTAGTAGTGTGGTAGTAGGTAGTAGTGTGGGGTTAGTGTAGTAGTGTGGTAGTAGTAGTAGTGTGTAGGTCGGTAGTGTGGTAGTGTGGTGTAGTAGTAGTAGTAGTGAGGGTAGGTAGTAGTAGTGTGGTAGATAGTGTGGTAGTGGTAGTAGTATAGGTGTGGTGGTATTAGTAGTAGTTGTGGTCGTAGGTAGAAGTGTGGGTAGTAGGTAGTAGTGTGGTAGTAGTAGATCGTGTGGAGTAGTTTGTGGTAGTGTGGTAGTAGTAGTAGTAGTGTGGTAGTAGGTGTGGTAGCTGTAGTAGTAGTGTGGGTAGTAGTAGTAGTGGTGGTAGTAGTATGGTAGTCGTAGTAGTGTGGTTGTAGTAGTAGTGTGGTAGTAGTAGTGAGGTAGTAGTGTAGTAAGGTGGTAGTAGTAGTAGTAGTAGTGTGGTAGTAGTAGTAGTAGTGTAGTAGTAGTAGTGTGGTAGTAGTAGTAGGTAGTAGTGTGGTAGTAGTAGTGTTAGTAGTGTGGTAGTAGTGTAGTAGTCGGTTGGTAGTAGGGAGTAGTAGTAGTGTGGTAGGTCGAAGTAGTAGTAGTGTGGTAGTAGAGTAGTAGTAGTGTGGTGGTAGTGAGTGTAGTAGTGCTGGAGTAGTAGTAGTGTGGTAGTAGTAGTAGTAGTAGTGTGGTAGTAGTAGGAGTAGTGTGGTAGTAGTGTGTTAGTAGTAGTAGTGTGGTAGTAGTGTGGTCGTAGCTAGTAGTGGGTGTAGTATGGTCGTGGATGGGTATAGTAGTAGTGTGGTAGTAGTCGTATAGTGGTCGACGTAGTAGTGTGTGGTTATACTACTCTATTGTTCTAATACTATTTTATACTAATTTACTATTTTACTATCATACTATTACTAAAATTATATTACTTCTACTTCTACTTCTTTTTTTCTACTTCTACTACTTTATTTACTGTACTATCTTTTTTTATTGTACTATATTACTACCTAAATTACTACTACAATTACTACGTACATTTTACTACATCTTATATTACTTCTACTATCTTTATGTATACTACTACTATATTCTACTAATTCTATATATTGACTACTACTACTTTATATTACTACTTCTTTAATATATTTAATTCTACTAATACTATTTTACTTCTTTTTTTTTGTTTTAACGTTTTTTTTTTGTTTAAAAAACTTTATTTACTACTAATACGACTACTTCTATATTATCTACTATACTTCTTTATACTTCTACATTATACTATATTATATCTAATTACTTTTATTTACTTCTACATTACGACTACATTACGACTACTTTCTATATTAATACTACTTATATATTACTACTACTACTGTATTATTACTAGTACTAATATATTACTACTAGTATACGTTATTAATACTTGTACTATAGTTTACTATAATACTACATATTACTATACTACTACTATATTTCTACTAATTCTACTATATTACTACTATACTATATTACCTACTAAGACTATAGGTCTAACTCTTTATTACTAATAGTTCTACTATTTACTACTATACTACTATATTACTACTAGTACTACCTATATTATCTACTTGGTACCACTTTATTACTCTACTGCTACTACTATAATTACTACTACTTACTAATTACTACTTCTACTGCTATATTTCTACTATACTCATATTACTAATTTCTACGATATATTACTACTAATACAACTATATTACTATACTACTACTATATTTATATACTTACTACTATATTACTACTAGTTATTACTTTATTACTACTATACTTATACTATATGACTACTACTACTACACTATATTACTTACTACTTACTTACTTTTTCTACTACTACTTATTATACTACTACTACTATATTACTACTACTACTACTATATTACTACTACTACTATATTACTACTACTACTATATTACAATTTTGCTTGATGGACCATGGGTTGGGAATGTTTCGCATAAAGCAAGGGAAATTTGTTTAAGCAAAATTTGAAGAATAGTTATGAAAAAGTGTTATCTTCTCAATAAAATTGTAATGTAATTATTCTATATACTGTGGTATTAACTGTTAGAAGTTTCGTGAGTCTTCCCAACTTATTGGATGAATTATAGAATCACTGACTTAATTCATTTAAAGACTGGTAGTGCATTCAGCTCGCAATTGAGGGACCTGGGTTTGATTCTGGGGCTGGTGGAGGTGTTAGACATGTTTACACCTTTTGCCTTTGCCTAACAGTACATTGGGTACCAATTTTCTCCCAGGCTTGTGGGTTGCATCATGGGGAAGGGGGGGGGGGGTTATATATCTTATACCTTACACAGGACTAGACTTTGAATCTAGTTGAGGTAAATGAAGCCTGTAAATTGAGCATTATAAAAAAAGGTACTTAAACTTTTTTGCATTGAGCAGTGTTAAATTTAAGTAAGTAATGTGAAATATCTTTTCATTTATTTCTTCCAATGTATTTGCTCTTTTGTACAGGACAGTGATGGCAAGGTTTATATTTGTGGTGTTCACTTGCCTGATGCAGAAAGTTATGATGGCTTCAGTGATATAAATCTTAGTGTGGGACTTGGATTTGTTTCACACCTGATTGTGTTAATCTCCCAGTTGTTACACCTACCTCTACGCTATCCTGTCAAGCCCAACGGCTCATTCTCCACCATCACGGATACAACTTCTGTGCAGCTCCGTGACACCGAAAGAGAGTTAGCATAAGTAACAGCCTATTTGGGTTTGAGGGGTAATAATGCTCTAGCTCTTGGACTCCCCTTATTTAAGATTGATATGAATTTGGTGTATAATAATTGTCTTTGAATAACTCTATGGAAGCAGCTTTTGTGTTGTAAAATTTATTTCAATACAGTAGGGCCACACTTATATGGCAGGTTAGGTTCCAGGCTACCGCTGTAAAGTGGAAATCATTGTAAAGTGGAACACCCTCTTTTTCTACTTATAAATGCTAGATAGCAGGTTTACACTAACAAATATTAAGTTAGCAATAGAACTAGGCATTAAAAAGCACAGAAAGTAAAATACACACACGGTACACTTGTCACTTACCTTAAAATATTAATATGAATGTGTGAAAGGTGAGTGGCAGTGTAAAAGTTTTTCAATGTCAGCAATAAGTAACTTTGACTTTTTTGGGTTATCCTAGGTTCTCTCCACACATGCTGCTATATGTAACTGTATTTGTGTATACCTGAATAAACTTACTAGTGGTCACTAGTGTAGCACTTTTAATTTCCCGCAACACTTTCTCATTGTTCACAACTGTACTAACTGTTTGACGAGCCAAACCAAGCTTATGTGCTATCTCAGCCATCGACATACCTTGTTAGTAAGATAGTTCATTCAGGTATACACAAATACAGTTATATAGATTATCATACATAGCAGCACATGTGTAGGAGAACTTAGGATAACCCAAAAAAGTCAGTTCACTAAGTTTAACCCTTAAACTGTCCAAACATAGATCTACGTTGACGTGTGTAGTGCTTCGAACGTTTATCTACATCCAATTTTACATGCTTTCAAATGGAGAAAATAAAGGTCGGAGCGCTAAGCACGCTCAGCATAGATCTACGTTTGACAGTTTAACCCTTAAATGGTCCAAACGTATATATATGTTTTTTCAACATCTGAAAGTAAGTAAAAAAATGTAGATCTTCTTTTTTGTTTTACATTTGAAAACGTGTAAAAAAAAACTTTTTCTTCATTTTATTTTTGTTACATATGAAAATATGTTAAAAAAAAGTAGATCTAACTTTTGTAGCATAGAATTGAACGTCGATTTTGTTTTGGGGACCCGTTTAAGGGTTAAGGGTAATCATTTCTAACTTGGCACTTAAGTAAGAGGCTTTCGACTTCTTTTTATCACAAACTGAGCTTAAAACGCCATCATCAACGAGAGCCAACTAGTTATTGAACATAGTTAATTGAGGGGGCCAGGTGAGAGAACGAGATACACGGAGTTCAGACCAGTTGTAAAAACACCCCAAACTGAAAGGTGGTAGGCGGACGGTTGGAGGAGTGGTGATGTCGGTCTTAGGGCAATGGTGGTGTAAATATTCTGCAGAATATTCGGAGTGTGGAAATTGGGGAGAAGGTGGGAGTTAATAAAAGCATTTTTCCCGAGGGCAGAAGGGGGTTTGTTGAGGGGTTTGGTCATTTAGAGAGAATGGATCAAAGTAGAATGACATGGAAAGCATATAAATTTTATGGGGGAAGGAAGGGGGGGGTAGGGGCTTTCCTCAAAAGGGGTTGGAAAGGGGGGGTAAAGGAGGTTTTGGGGGCGGGGGGGTTTGGGACCCCCCAGCAACCCTGAAAGAGGGGTTTTAAAGATAGGATGAAGGGAAACGAATGATATTTGGGGAAAACCTGACGATCTTTTGGGAAAAGTGAGCGGGGTAATTTTTTGTAAAGGGAAAATTCGGGGAAACCTTTATTTTTCATATGGGGGGGGATTTAGCCCCTTTAAAAAAAGGGAAATTACAATCCTCCCCTTTTAAAAAGGAGGGTTTTTGGGAAAAATTGGCATTTTGGGAAGGATATGTTGTGTATCTTTAAAAGAAATTTGCTTCAAAACTGTTAAAAATTCTGACACCTTTTGGCAAAAGCAGTGATAATTTTGGTGAGTGGGGGTGAAAGTTTTGAATGATGATGAAAGTATTTTTTTTTTGGGGATTTTTTTTTCTTTTTTGGGTAAACCCCCCTCTTGGGGACACCGACTTTTTTAAAAAAAAAAAACAAAAAAAACATGTCTGGTTTTATTTCATTAAACCGTTTTTTGTAAGAGTTGTGGACTTTTACCTAAACAATATTTTTTTTTTTTTAATAAAAACCCAATTACCTCACAAAACAAAATTTTTTACATTATGTAAAAAATAGTAAAAATTTAAAAAATAATTTAAATTCCCATTCCGGGCAACGCACCTTTTTTAGAAAATTTTAAAGATATTACATTAAAATTTTTTTTTTTTTTTTTTTTTTAAACCCAAAATTTAAAAAAAAAGAAGTGCAAAAAACCCAACAAAGGCTTGAATAGCATAGATAGATTTAAGGCTACAAAAAGGAAAATATTTTTTACAGTCACCCCCCAAAACGGGTTTGGACTAGAAAAAAACCGTAATTTTTTCCGATACCCCCAAAAAGCCACTTAAAACAAAATCTCATATTTATTCAGTTTTTTATACTGGGGAATTTAGTATCATTTTTTGTTTTTAAGTAACGTTTTTTAATATAATTTTAAAAAAAATATCATAGAGGGAATTAATGGAAATTTTAAATATTAATGTAATAAAAAACGACATTTAATCACCCAAGAATTATTATTTTTAAAATTATTTTTTTTATTATTAAATTTAAATTATTATTATTATTATTAAAAATTAAATTATTATTATATTATTATTTTTGCATCTTAAAGAGTAAAGACTCTTAGTGTTTTTTAAAGTGTACCTGCATGCCAGTACAGTGTGTAAGTTTTTAAATTTTTTAAAAAATTACGGGGGTATAAAAAAAGTTAAATTTTTATTTCCAAAACAAAATAAATTGCTTAAATTTTTGGAATTTAAAACAAAAGGGGGGGGAAACGGAGAATGGAAAAAAACCGGGGGGGGAAAAGGGGTTTTTGGCCATTAGAAAGCCGGTTGGGTTGGGGACCCAAAATAAAAGCCCGAAAAAAATTTTTTTCAAAAAAATTTTTTTTTTAAATGGCCTTTTAAGGCGGAAAACCCTGAAAAAGCCCAAAAAAAAGCCCTTTTTATTTTAAACTTTATCCCTTTAAAATAACACTGTTTTTCGGGGTCAAAAAATGTTAAAGATTTTTTTTTTTAAAAAGTCCGGCCCATTTACCCCAAAGGAAAAGGAGGACCCAATAAAAAAAAAACCCCCCAAAAAAGAAAGAAAAAAACTTTTTACCCCCCATCACCCAACATTTTCAACCCAACCCCTTCCCCATTCCAAAAGGGGGGGGGGGGGTTTTGGGGGGAGGGGGGGGGGGGGGGGGGGGGGCCATAAAAATTTCCCAAAAACCCCCTTTTTAAAGGCAGGCGACTTAACCCCACGGCAACCCAGAACCTTTCCCGGAACCCCAAAAAAACCCTGCCCAAAAGGGGGGGGGGGGGAAAATTTGGGGGTTTTCCCCCATCATTTTTCACTTTTTAATAGGGGGGGGGGGGGGGGGGGGGGGGGGGGGTTTTTTTTAATTCCCCCCCAAAGGGGGAAAACCCCCCCTGTTCCGGTTTAAATTTGTATTTTGGTCCAAGTGTATACAGGAAAAGGGGGGGAAAATTTTTGGGGTTGGTTTAATAATTTTGAAAAATTCCCCCCAAAATTTTAAGAATTTTAAACGACCCCCAAAACAGGGGAGGGGGAAAATTTTTTAAAAAAGTAAATAATCTACCATCTTCGGGGAATTGATTAATTTGACAAAAAAAACCTTTTAAAATCTTTAAAACATTATTATTTTTAAAATTTAAAAAAATTTTTTTTGGGGGTTTTTTTTAAATTTGGGATTTGTGGGAAAGTAAGTTTTTAAAATTTTTTAAAGGGGGAATAATTTTTGGGTTGGGAAAGGGGAAAAAAAAAATTATTAAAGGGAAACTGCACTAGATAAATATTTTTCAAAAGGAAAAAAAATGAAAAAAAAGGTTTTTTTGTGATCCCAAAATTTTTTATTATTAAAGAAAATGCAATAATAACACGAACAAAAAAAAATGATCGTTCTACAATTGTTTGGGAATATTAAAAATTTTCCAAATTTTTTGGGGTTTTTTGTGCAGGAGTAAAGGGGGAAAGGAAATTTGCAAATTTTCAAAAACTTAGCAACTTTTGTAAAAAATAACTAAAGAAAATTTAACATATTACTTCCAGTGAAAACACGAACTAGTATTTTTTTTATAAGTAAAAATCCCAAGCCCAAACCTTTTTGTTTTTCCATTTAGGCCGGGGTTTTTCCCAAAAGGGTCATTTCCCAGTGAGTTTTTTTTTTTTTCATTTGCTCGTAACTTGGATTTTGGCTCTAAAACTCAAAGCAAAAAGTTGACTGGGGCCGACGGCTCGTGACTCGGAAAACTCATAAGTTAGGGCACCGTAAGCAACTTACCACTGTACTTTGTTCTTTCCCGCTAAAAAACCAAAACCAAACCTCAAAAACCCCCTCTTAAACCTCTTACAAATACTTTTAGTAACCCAAAACCTTCTCCAAATTTCCACACACTAATTCTCTGAATAATTTTTTAACCCCAAACATATTGCCCTTAGACAGACACCTCCACTCCCCCCGGTCCCTCCTCGTGCAGCATTTAAAAAACCCAAATTTTTCACACCCCCCTTAAGAGTTTTTTGGTCCCACTATACTCTATACACCCCCTTTCCCTTTGCCTCTGTGGATAACATTTATTGTCTCCACAGATCCCTTTCATTAAACCACTTCCCCCCTTTTTTTCCTTAAATTCTTTTGGTTAATTTCCATCCTTCATAAATCCTTTTCACTGACAAGTAAAACTCCCAAAATGCCCTAAAAAACTTCATTTTCTTCCTACTCCCCCACCCTCCAATGTATTTTCCAAATTTTTCCCTTTTAAATCAAAATTCTTTTAAAACCCTTTCATAAACCTTACTCTTATCTTGTTCACTTTCAATTTTTCAAACCTTTACGCACGCTCCCCAACTCGCCCACTAACCTTTGCAACTTTTTTTG